CCTGATCAGACCTTACTGGTTCATCATCATCATTCCTATGCCAACTCCAAGAGGCATGAGTTGAATTAATTATCGCAAGTTCACCATGGCCAAAGCTTGCTTCACGGAAGACGGACCATTCTGGCTGGGGTAGCTTGTACCTGTCAATAATTTGTCATGACATGTAAGTTCAGCATCATAATAACTACCACTCTAATTTTAACTAAAGTGGCACCTAGAAACTTCTAAATCCAAATTTTGCAACGGTAAAGTTATTCAACTATGATGAACCACCACCTAAGCTAAATGTGTGAAAGAAAAGCGAAGAAGAATACAGAGACCATTTACGATCTAAACGAGTTCTCTTCTTACTTCCATTGTCATTTTAAGGATCCTGTGCTCAGCTAGCAGGAAAAATTACTCAAGGAAGACTTACTTGCGCGCTAAACCTTCTTTATTTCCTCCATCGCCAATTGTTATGTGAACAGCACCACAAGGATCAGGTCTACCATTATAAACCCGTTTCTGTTGTAAAAGAAAAGAATAGTTGTGTTATACATCCAATATCAAGAATAAAAAGCTAATAAGCAAGCCAGGCATACCGTGCGCTCATAAGCATGAACATGTCCAGCAAACACTATATCTGCACCGCCTGCATACAGCAAAGGCTCCATAGTTGCCATCATGTCATCAGCTTCACCTTGATGGGCTTCGTTACTATTATACCATGGCACATGGAATAACACAACCAGCCAAGGAGTCTTTTTACGGTTTACTTTTAGAAGATCAGCCTACGGTTGAATTTCCAATAAATGCATTTATATTAGCAAAACAACATGACGCTATGCTTTTCAATTAAGCATGCCAAGGGATTCTTAGTTTTTTTTCCTCTGAATACATGCCATACAACCTTACTTCCCCCTCGGCTGAAACAATTAGATAGCTGAATAACCAGAAGATAGAGGCTAGATCATATGGATATTGTGTGAAATTCGAAGGAAGCCTCTAGTACTAATATGAAACACAAAATGAACTAGGTGTTCATTTATTAGCATAACAATAGATTCTCATTAGCCAGGTTTCGATCCCTTTTCCGAAAAAGAGAAAAATAATTTATTTTTCCTGTTTTGCCCTTAGCATTAATTACTGATTCCATATCATTTTCCAAATCCATTAAGACTATACACCGATTAATATGGGCATAATGGTAAATTATACACTTTATTTATTATTTCTTAAGGGGTGTGCAAAGTTAATAGTGGACAAGTAAAAGTAAACGAGGGAGTAGTTGATAACCCTTTTCCGAAAAAGAATAAAAAGATGGGATGGGAAGCTCAACTGGTGTGCACAATATCAGAGCCAGGTTTTGATGCCTTTTCCGAAAAAGAGAACAATAATTTATTTTTTCTGTTTTGCCCTTACCATCAATTACTCATTCCAAATCATTTTTCATATCCATTAAGACTATTCGCCAATTAATATGGGTATCATGGTAAATTATACACTTTATTTATTATTTCTTAAGGGGTGTGCAAAGTCAATAGTGGATAAATAAAAGTGAATGGAGGGAGTAGAAGGTTTCCATTTCAGGAATAAATGAGAGCTCAGCTAACCTTCAGCCATCTATATTGATCAGAGTACTCATCATAGTCAGTATATGAACCAAGCATGATTGTATGAACCCCTGCAACATCAAATGAATAGTAGAGATTTGAAGTAGATCCGCTCTCCTCAAATGGCATCTTCCACCTGGAGTTGTAAGATATAAATTCATCCACAATGAATGGTATGTTTTCTTTTTCATGATTCCCTTGAGTCACCATCCATGGCCTAGCACTAGCCAGCGGCTGAACCAGTTGACCAAATGTGTCCCACCTATGTTGAATATAATCAGCATAAGAAAGGTCACCAGGTAGCAAATGAACATCATATTTACATTGGTCTATATGGTCTAAAGTTGACTTCGTCCATCCAGTCTGGCCCAAATCTCCTGCCACAGCAAAAGTAACTGGAAACTTAGATGGTGGAGTTTTGAGCTGGAACTCCGGACCTTCTCCGCCACATCGGTAGAAGTACACAGTGTTGTCTTGCAATGGTCCAATCACAGTATGGTGTATCGTTCCAGAACTATATAACAGGTAACTGTACTTGGTACTTTCTCCTTGAGCTTTAAAACTGTATTTTCCAGTGGATGTTCCATATTCAATAACTGAAAGAGAAGATTTATCAGTTGTGACCCATGACACCCTTATGTGTTTGTCCCCAGCTAATGAGATGTGAACCTGCCAAGAGAATATCAATTCACATGATTAAATATACAGGCTCCATCTATTCACCAAAACAGTGTACACGTAACTTAAGGAGGACATAACAGGCAGCTCCATTCCTGCTTCTCAAAAGTATTTCCATCAAAATATGAGTAAGTCTTCCGTACCATCTTCCTCCTATTTCTTTTCCTTTGAATTTTGTTCCTCTTCCAGATATGAAAAATGCAGCTTTCACAGAATTGTGTTACTTTTTCTTATCTAAAATCCAAGTTCCAAACTGCGACCTTAGGAGTTAGGACAATGTTTTACACTTAAGTCTATTATGGGCATTAGTCATTTTCCATAAAGCTCATACTCTAATAACTTGCCTTTTTTGGATATGTAAACATTATTTCCTACATAACATTGTCAACAAAAAACCACCTTTCAGCCCACCTTTAAACACCCCCACACCACCACCACCAAGCATGAAGCACCCTTTCGCCATTATTACACTCCACTAACTAATGTCCATGGAAAGATTTTAGGTCCTCCTAAACAGGCATAAAACCAACTTGACAAACAAAAAGAAAATGGAAGACCAGATAATGAAAAGAACTTTGGCGTCTACGAGCTTTATTATTGCTAACGTAGTTACATTGCAATTGGAACTGTGGAAGACATAGAAAGCAACACCTAGAAAATCATAACTACTTTTTTATTAAGTATGAAATAACAATTCAAAAAAAAAAGTATGAAATACAGACACCGATCAAAATTGGTAAATCCAAGAGCTCAAAGACAGTTGAGTTTTTAAGCTAACACATTGGGACACAAAACAAGGAGTTTCAGTCAGTGAGGAATAACAAAATTTTAGCAACAAAAAAATCACATCTGCCAAAAAACCCCTAACAGATCAAAAAAATAATAATTAAGCTCCCCTGATTTCACAGCAATTATAACAAAGAGTAAGTTGAACTCCTAGACTATGCTAAGCTACATTATCTAGCTGTACTCCGGATTCAAATCCCAAAAAACTTGAGTAGAATCAGTTGAAATTGACACCAATTGATATAAACGAGAAAGGCATGGGCGGATCTATATGTTGCAGCTGAAATTTTTGTTTAAAATATAAAAATATATATCTTTGGTAAAAAGAAATACTCTCCCATCCCATTTCATATGATATGGTTTGAACATAACAGAGTTTAAAAAAAAAAAAAAAAACTTGTGATCTAAGACAAGTCATAAATATTAAAGTGACTATAAATAATCTCCTTAAGAACTAAATTACTTCTAATAGAGAAAGGTACAGACACACACTAAGAAGGAAAGTGCATCTCAGAAATTGAAGGCGAGAGAGCAATGATTATACTGACTTAAAATAGTGAAATAATTACCTGCTGAGGTTGAGAGGAAGGCTTAGGATCCCATGGCAAACGAAAGGCGTTACGAGGTGGAGGTCTGACGTATTCTACTTCTCCAGCTCTGACAGTTGCGCCGATGAACAAAACGGCCGTCAAAGAGAGTAATTGTAGTATTATTATCTTCACGTTGAGTTCCATGATCGGTGCTGATGGATTTTTTCAAATTTGGCAAATGAGCGTCCTCATACTCTCACTCCCCTAATCATTCCTTTTGGCTTTTGCTTTCCCCCCATTCAACGCGCTTTTTTGTTTGCTTCACACCTACAATAACCAACCCCAATATCTCCCCGCTTTTTCCTTTTTCTTTTTTCGATTTATTAAAAAGGTAGTAGTAAAACATAAGTAATAGAATGTCAGTCGGTGGACGTGGATTTATAGATAGTCAAATCAACTGCATGAAGAAATGAACTTGGTTCTGTTGCGTACATTTTCCTGTTTGAGGATTTACTTTTTTGGATTTGTACATTTTGGAACATTATAGTATCTAAGATCGTTACTCTCTTGTTTTTTCTCTATCTTCTCTTCAAATAGTACATAGCTTCAGTAGAAATGCTTGAATATTTGTACAATTAAAAATGTGAATATCCTAAATAAGTCCAAGACCGGACCAGTTAAATTATTTAATCAACCCCCAGAAGATATAGCTGAAATTGTCTCATATTTACGTTAATGCTTGTTTGGATGGTTGTTATCTATTGTATGGTTACTGTGTGTTTTAGTTATTATTTAAATTTAATTTTATCGCTAAATCCATCATTATATCACAATAAAAAATATCAATTTATAAAATGACGAATTTTGTGCGATTTGTTGTCTTGCTTTTTTCTCTCATCATGCCCTTTCTTATTATTTTCTTAGTAATGTTGCAATTCATTAAACAATACAATACATTATAAAACGACAAGTAACAACAATCCAAACAAGTTGGGTGTGGGAACTATCGCAAAGTATTTTTGAGTATTGAGCAGCTGTTACAAGAAACTGAGTTCCACTTGGCTTTAGCTATAATGTACAGTAGTAGTTAATAAAACCACTAGCAATTAAAACAGGATGGCAAAGAAGACGGATTGTGAATTGAAGACAAACTAATAGAGTTCCGCTGAATATCAGTTTTGCGCCTCATAGGACTCCAAAATACATCTCCCAATCTCAACTCCAGCTGCACCTGTACTTCTGGAATTTCTTATTTCTTCTCTTACCAAAATACAGCTATTTTCAACTATTTTCATTCGTCAACTTCAGGCATCACATTCAGCAACTTCAATTTGAAAGCTGCTTGCAATTAAATCCGTACATCATGGCTAACATGAAATTAGGAGACAAGAACTACAAAACCAAGAAAAAAGTATGACAAATTTACCGGAGAGCCTAAAACATTAATGCATCGGCCAATAAAATTCGGATATTAGGTCAAGATAATGCTCAGAAGGTTTCGGTACACATACAACGTAACAGCAAACTCAAATTTCACCAATTACAGACAGAAGAAAAGAAAATGTCTCACAAAAAACTCACACGATCACTCAACTTATCAAAACATTGTACAACCAGTCCCACTAACTGGAAACATCAAGCCTGAGCACTGGAAACTTGAACACCATCTACCAATTTGCCTCCTTGAAAATGAGCAACATCACTGCAAATGTGAATGAAAACAACAAATGAGAAAATATACTTGAAGGAAAAAATAGTCCTTGCCATAAGAAAGTCCATACGCAACGAACCACTAGACTAAGCAGAAAGTTAAAAAACACAAGTCAGAGCAGGCAACAAAAAAAGGTTTAGCAAGACAGAAAACTAGATATTGCATATATTTGACGAAACTAGAAACGAATTACTACCCAAGATAGATTAAAGGAATTTTTTACTTCCTTCTAATCATGTTTAGAGATGGTATTCTGTCATCCATCTAGATTATATGTATATTTGTATAAATTTCTGATTAACAAGTTTCCAATGACTATTAAATAAATAAATATGCAACTAGACTATTCAAATTGCAGCTGAATAGAACCTTAATTTATTACTATTATAAGATTTTAGATTGTTGGATTAGTTAGGAGTTACATATTAGTATTAGCTTAATTAACTTTTGCTTTCTGAAAAATACAACATAATAAAATTTGTAGATGTTATGGCATTATTCTCTTTTCTCTCTTTATATAAAGAAAATTAGTATATGTATTAACATCGGAACCAGATAAAAAAAAAAGTTGTGTTCTACCATTAAAAAGCATGTTGAAAGCTTGCAGTTAAATGATTAGTATAATACCTTTTTACAGCTTAATTCTCATTTTTCTTTTTACATTAAAAAGATTTGAGAGTATCTAACATGTGAAGTAAATAAGAATGCAAAATTATCTGTGTAAAAATCATGAAGCAGCAAAAGTTTGGTCAAGTTGGGCGGGTTGGGTTATGACCCCTTGATTAGCCCATCTTGACCCAAGTAGACTTTGGGCAGGGTTGGGCAATGACCCATTTATTAGTCCAGCCCATTTAGACCCGCCCAAACCCAGCCCATTTGCCACCCCTACTGGTAGAAACCCATGTACTTACTGAACTAGCATCATAATCAGAGAAAAATGCTGATACCCAAAAATACAATATTTGGTTCCTCATCAAAACACCAAAATGGCAAGCCAGAGAGACCTTCAAGGCCAAATTTGTCATACCTGCTGTGGCTGCTGATAATTCGTATATCCTGGGTAATTTCCATAATACATATTAGGGTCCTGAGCAGGTGGAGCATATCCATAAGCCTCATATCCTTGGCCATACCCATAATACGCGCCACCACTACCACCCCATTGAGTCTGGTCAGTCTACATAGAGAATCAGAGTCAAAACAGTAGCGAATGTATCTAAGTTTAAAACTAGAAAGATAGGCAAAAACCTGTTTGCTAGAGGGGCTACGCCCCCAAGAAAGCCGAATGCTTTGTCCTCCCAATTGTGTGCCATTCAAGCTTGACAAAGCCTGCTCAGCAGAAGCTCTGGAAATGGCATGTGATAGAACATGAGAAAAGAACATGGACAAGAAATCTAGTAAGAGACATTTTAATTGCACAGTGACATTACCTAGTACCGAACTGAACAAAACCACAGCGTTTTCCAGCAACTATCTTCACATGAACCAATTCACCATATGGGGAGAATACCTGCCGCAAATGCTCTTCTGCAACAGTGGGATCCAAACCACCAACAAATATCTGCACATTTGAATGTGAACGGTTAGAAGGGCATACACTAGAAAAACAAACTTACTTCAAAACAAGCTACCCACAGTTGTATTATTGGGGTCACTTTCGCCTTGAGTTGCTTGAGGATTTTGATAAATAGCTGCAATGATAAAAGATGTGAAGAGTAGAAATGCAGTCATCAAAAGTGCTAGCATCTAAGAAAGGCAGACTCTCCAACACATAGAGGAAAATGAACAGTAACACAGAAGCATAAAAGAAGAAACAAAGAAAGAGAGAATAGGCATCAATTGACCCAAGCTTTATATATTCGGAGTATGAGGATACTTCTAAAACAGAAAATATATTTTTTTTAAAACAATTGCACCATTACACCAACTCATTCTAGCAACCATTTTACATTTCCCCGCCACGGCTTTTATGAAAAGAAAATCCATGAGCAGCTGAAACAAACGAACACATTCATACATAGAGCAAGCAGAAACTTAACAACAGCTTATTTAAATAAAGGCACTCTGCCACCCCTAAAAGAAGACCAAAGATGATCCTTTGATCAGGAGTATTCACAAGCATAACGGCATTACTTCATATCCTTACACGTGAATGCATGCTCCTTGAAAGTCATGGATATAGAACTCCTAGGCCTGATACATGTTCCGTTGTTAAAACAAATTGCAAGGCAGTTCATAGGGCGATGAGCTGAAGGAGCTCGAGAACCATTCTACTGACAGCATACTGACTTTAGACAGTCAACAAGCCCTTCTAATTCTTAAATCCAAAAACCAAACAACAAAATATCAACAGAGTACCCCTTGAATCATGAAAAAATTAGAAATACTTTTTATGGTATTCTAAAAGTATCAGTGCATTATGTATTCAATGAATAAGTCTTCTATCGTATATTGGTAACTGCAGTCCACTTATAAGATAACAAGTTTAAAAAGAGGAGATATTCAAATGAATCATTTTCTTTTGGATAGCAAAACAATTTTACAAATCAAAGAGCGAAACCGTGTCATAAGTATTTGAACCCTTTTTTTTATATCTTAACATGGAGAATCGAACCCGCAACTGTTGGAGGTGGAGGGTGCTTTCAACTTGAGCTACCCTTTCTTGTTTGTCAAAAGTTTTTGAACTTACAATGCAGATATCACAACAGCAACCAAGGAAAAAATAAAAGATGGAAGACGGCCCCACTGAAGCTAATATATTATTTCTAAGCAATTATGCTAGTACTAGCATCCATACACCCTATATGCACATAAGGTATTCCAACATATGTACTGAACAGCCATTTTGATCTACAAGTTTCTACTCCCCCATTTCCATCTTCTTGTCAGCTGCTCTTAGTTAGTCGATTGTCTTCAGCATTTCAGTAATTTGGGAACAAAAGATTACAACTTGCGGAATCTTTCATGTAGTTTCTAAATCTCTAAATATTATTTTCAAATGACCAAATGACTAATTCAAAAAATGAAAGCCAATGTATAATTGGAATAGAAGAGCATTGTCCACGAGTTTACACCACCCATTTCCAACTTAGTCAGCTGTTCTTCACAAATGGATTGTTTTATACATTTCAGTATTCTGAAAACAAGAGGTTAGAGCTTGAGAATCTTTCATTTAGTTTCTAATATTATTTCCAAATGACCAATTGGACAAATAAAAACCAGTGGAGGACAGTAATTGGAACGGAAAGAGTAATGTCCAACAAGTGTATTAGAACTTGGTTATCAAGAATGTTTTTCTTTTTTTTTCTTTTTCTTTTTGGATGAAGTGGTTTTCAAAAAGTGTATTAGAGCTAAAAAGGTAGAACCACCTCAAGGCATCTCATCTTGAGAATAAAACTAGTCATATAAATCTTCTTTGCATCTCCTACAAGATTTATCAATTTTACATTACTCAAACTGCGAGAGAAAAGGTGCTGATAGTTGAACTTGAGTTCCCAGAATTAGTAGCATACACCATTAACACAGACAGCTCTGAACGTGACACACAAAGAAAGGCAAAGAATTGTAAGGAAATGAATGGAAACAGCTCGCCACAGCATTATTTAAAGGTGTGAGAGATTGATCCTAACTGAAATTACACAAGGCCAGCTGAGGAATTAAATAAACTGGAAAAATGAAGGAAGGAAATTTAATTAAATAAACTGGAAAAATGAAGGAAGGAAATTTAAACTTCGATAGAATTGGAAATAAATTTACTAAGGCTCATAATAGTAATTCTGGAACCGGAAATTAACTAAATGTAGCATAAGAATGCCACAAGAATACGAAAAAGGAAGCGTGACATAAACGAATAAACTGACCTAAAATGAGGCCACGCACTAAAGTGGAATCATTTCAGCTGAAATCAGTTCCAGGCCCCCATATGAGAGCCTCTTTGTTTCCTGCTTTGAGACAACACGAGTTTTATAAGTTTGTGCACATTTCGAAATAATTAAATGCCCCCAAGTGTAGAAGTTAAGTAATGGAAGAAAAGGATTTTAAAGATTCCGTTTCTTCAAGTGCATAGCTGAAAAACCAATCAACTTAAAACTCTGAACATGTCAGGAAATTTATAGCACCACTGGGAGTCTGGGACAAAAATCAGGAACGCAGAGTCGCATACAACAAACAGCACAATTCCTACTGCAAACAACATTTCGAGCAGAAAAAATCCACCTTCAGAACAGCATATGAAAGGATGACATGGCCATACCTTTCTGCGGTGTACCCACTGGTTTCTTGTTCGCAGCGGGGCCAATCCTCATGGGCCTAGTTGAACAGAGGACGCCATTCATTTCGGTCATAGCACGCAATTGTTCACTCTCATCGGCAAACTTGACAAATCCATAGCCCTTGGAACGTCCAGTGATTCTATCTGTTACAACTTTTGCACCTTTTACCGACGAATACACAGATTTGAATGTCTCTTGTAGCATATAATCCGTCACATCAGCAGCCAAATCACCAACAAATATTGTATGCTCAGCTGAATCATCTCGCCTCTCACCGGCACCAAGAGAGGCCCAGTTCATACGGAAATTCTGTTCCACATTTGGCATCAAAGTGCCATTATACGTCTGTAAAATAGTTTCTGCAGCTGCATGACTCCTGAACTCAAGGAATCCATAACCTTCAGACTGACCAGTTTGTTTGTTCCTAATGACCTTAGCAGAAACAAGCTGCACAAAACAATGAAGCCATTATAATAATGCAAAACAAAGAGCCAGTTCAATGATACACTAAAGCAAATATTGAGCTTTAATATTGGTTCCCAACCCCTCCTCTTCTAGGCAATCTTTAAATACTTCAATACATCTTCTAAATTCACCTCCAATTTTTCTTCTCCTTTTTTCTGGGATGACGGTGGTGTCCGAGCCAGCTTGCGTGCACCTCAGCTATTCTACAGGATACCAGGTAACTCTACCCACTAAATCTTAGGTGAATGAAAAGAAATCACCTAGTATTTTTTTACCCACTGCGCTTTCAACCTAAGACCTCACGGTTCTCCTACCATTTTAATGACCACTAGGACACACTCTTGGGTAATTTTGTTCTTTTTCTAAGTTACTATATTAATTTTCACCCCCTCCTTTTCTATCAATCACCTAAGCCACTTAAAATAAATTGCAACTAAATGCAAAAGAGAAATTTAAATGATAAGGCAATCTTTCCAAATTCAATCGACTCCACACAAATGAAAACAGATAATCAGCTGAAACGAAATGAAGAGGAAAACATTTAACTACCATCTCCTAAAAAACAGCCTGGCGGAAAAATGTGAGGAATGCATCATAAATTTAAGAAATTGTTTTGAAAGTCAGAAACAGCGTCAGCAAACTATATCAGAAATACGAAAGTTTTCTCCCCACGTCTACAATCACCTAAGCAACTACGATTTTCTAGCATTTATTTCCTTAATTTAACAATATTTTTCCTAAAAACTGCAAACGAATGGAAACAGGGTTAGATTTGTAAAATTACCTCGCCGGTATGATAGAAACAAGTGGAGAGATAATTCTCATCCATCCAATACTGCAAATCCCCAATCCAAAGAGACCGAACCTCGTTAGGATTACCGGTAGGGCTAGGGTTAGGGTTTGTCGTCGGCATAGCACCGTACTGTTGTTGCGATGCCTGCTGAGCCCAAGCAGGTTGAGATTGAGGTTGAAATTGCGGCTGTTGTGGCTGTTGAGGTGGCATCATCCATTGTTGTTGTTGTGTCGGCGGTGGAGCCTGCTGCTGGTACTGATGCTGATCCATCGACATAGGAGCCATAGGTGGTTGAGCAACTCCACTTTGTGGCATCATTTTGAAGAAATTGAACGAGCCGGATTGATGAAGAAGAAGAAACCCTAGGTAAGAAAGAGAACAAAAGGGTTCAATGTGATTATACCGTGACGAGAGATAAGGTTCTCGCCGAAGAGGGGGGAGAGGGGGGGGAGATTTGGAAGCGCATGTGGGCCTTATAAGAGCTAGTCAGCAGGGGACCCGTGTAGCGAATGGATGGATATTTGGGCCTTGTCAGCCCAACCCATATGGACCGTATTTATTTTGTAGAAATGACACTGAGTAGCCGTTTTGAGCATCCCTATTAAAACATATCCAATTATTTAAATTTTAGCCAATTTTGACTAACTTCAAACTGTTCAGGCTATTGTTGTTGGTTCTTATTCTTCTTCTTTCTCATACCTTCAAGAAGTATGAAATTAGACTATGTTAGAGTCTCAATTCATATCGAAGTCTGAAGCTGAACTTCATTTAATCTCCAAGCTTGAGGTCTGAAGTTAGCCTTTCACAAAGCGTAACGCCAGACCTTCCATTGAAACTTCATACTCGCGATTTAAATTTTACCTACTCCGTGAAATCGATTTTGACACATCTAAACTTTAACAAAAAAAATAATTTCTGACTATTCATTAAATATTGGGTCTTAAAACGGCTATTTGTGCACTTTCCCTATTTCATATTTGGCTCCCTCCAGCCCACATATTTTTGGTAAAAATTGCACGGAGCGTCCTATTTGATTGCGCACATTTAACTTGTTTTTAAATTATTTTTTTTAAAACTTGTACCCACTATTTAAACAACTCCAGACATTTTTCTCATCTTTCTTCTTATTCGGGTAACAGTGATTTTATATGGTGTTTGTGGACATATTTTAAGGTAGTTTATGATGTTTTACAATAGTAAGTTATTGCGGTGCTTTATTTATTTTTTTACTATTGCTTAGGGTTTCTTCTTTTTCTTTTTCTCAATTGCAAAATGGGTTCGTTAGATTTTTTGTTGTTTTGACAAATTGATGATTGGGGGTTTGTTCTTGATGATATTTGGAGGTTATGTTTTAAATTTGAGCTCGTTTGGAGTAGATTTAGGTATTAAACCATATATTGAATTATTAAAATTCGAAGAATAATTTTCTATTTTTGGGCAATTTGCACTTCGGGCTTATTTAGCCTTTAAGTGCATGAAAACGTTGGATGCACTTCGGACCTTTTGGCCTTAAGTGCATCTGAAATGTAATTTTTCACTTCATACTTGTCGGCCTTAAGTGTAGGGAAACGTTTATTGCACTTCGGGCCTTTTGGCCTTAAGTGCATCTGAAGTGCAATTTTTCACTTCAAATTTATTGGTCTTAAGTGCATGAAACCATTGATTGCACTTCAGGCCTATTTGGCCTTAAGTGTATATGAAGTGCAATTTTTTCACTTCAGACTAATTTTTTTAACTTCAAACCGGATAAGTCTAAAGTTGATCGTAAAATGGGTAGGCTTGCAATTTTTTTTTTGTAAAGTGGGTATAGGTTCAATTGTGACCCCAAAACCGGTTATAGATGCAAAAGCCCCATGTTTTTGTCATTCATTACTTTTATTTATATTTTCACATAGTTTATTTGAAAAATTAATTAAATAATCGTCCAACCAACCATCTAATCAAAAATAAACCGGCAGACATATAGTATTTATGTATAATATGTGCAAAACCATGTATACTCTATTTATATCAGCTAGAAAAAATATAAAGTGAATTGACCGACTATTCGTCTAAAAACCCCAAGTTATTTTTAGAAAAGAAATGTCCAACTATATGCACTAAAATTCGAATTCCTAATGCTTTAACGAAAGTAAGTAACTTTTTGATCACTTAAATTGCAATTCTTAATCAGTAAATTGTCCCCAAAAGGAACACTTTTATTCGTCACTTCTTTGACATAAGAACTCCCTGTTTAGTGACTGTTACCAAAAGGTCACTTTTTTTAATTTCCCAAAAATAGTCACTTTCATTTTAAAACCTTATCTATTGCAAAAAGACAACATTGAGAACCGCAGAAAAATACTCTCATTTATCTTCCAGGCACAAAAACATTACATTTTGCTTAAATTGGGCAAGAAAGCAACTGGCATATTGCCAATCCATTTCATGTTCCCCTGTAAGCTACCCAATAAATTCTACTGTATGGAACTATTCAAGGTACTATAACAAAATTTATGCTGAGAATAATATGAATCTCAGCTATCAAAATGTTCTTCCATTACGAGTTCATAGAACTTAGCAACTTCAGAGCCAACTCCTCTTGCTCTGCCACAGATATAGCGTCAGCAGCAATACCCTCTTCAGCCATGTCCTTTGGTTTCTCGTCATCACTGTCAAAAATCTTGGTTTTCTTATTGACTCTACCTCCGGGGAGTTCCCCATCTGACCCGGAGAGTTCTTCATCTTCCTCTTCCTCTTCCTCTTCCTCTCTACCTCTCTTATACTTCATCTTCTCCTTGATTCGTTTTTCTTTGAGACGTTTGCGGTCCAAATCCTTGTCTTCCTTGTCGGCCAACTTCAAGTTCTTTCTCAACTCAGCATATCTCTGATTTACTGCATTGACAACAAGAATAAAACAAAGTGTAAGAAAGCAACATATGCAATTGAAAATGAGACGAGCTAATAAAATATCTAGTGACTTAACATCAGCAATAAAATAATCACTTCAGGGCTGAAAACAGAACAAGGATCAAATAACCAAATTTTGCTGCAGATTATGCAGAATACGCAGGAAACAGCTAGTTAGATTTGATAATGCAAGTTCAAAAATGTTGGATCGCAGCAAANGTTGGATCAAAAGCAGCAAAAGTTCTATCGTTTTTCCTAGATATTACTTGGATATAATAAAAACAATCTCAGATAGTACAAGATCTTGGAACAAAAGCCTTTGAGACTCTTGGATATATCAGTCGCACCTTTTTCTTTGTTAAGCTGCACAGAGTCAGCACCACCGCTTGTGTCGGCTAATCTTGCAAGAGGTGGTAAAGTGTTTCCTTCCTCATCAAACACAACCCTTGTCCCTACAGGTCTGTGGACATTGATCTTTAGTTTCTTTTTCTTCAAAACTCTAGTGACCGGCCTACAAAACAATTCAAACAAGAACCGGAAGCAAAATCAATCACAAAGAAGATTATAAACACTACATAAAAAGAGCAGCAGCTAAGAGAAATGTGAATTGCTAGAAGAGTATCCTGGTGATGAAACATCATATCATCATATATTTAAAGTCAGCAGATCATTGCTTAATGAAAGATTTTCCAAAATGGCAGTTCCACCATCAACGCAAGTTAGATTAGCAACAAATCCATTCAACTTAGCTAATGCCTTCTTGCTTAGAAGAAAGTTCTACACATCAAATAGACAATATAAAGAAGTGATTGACGTACATATCATCTCCTTTGCTGTTAATTTTGAGTTCTCCTACTTCTTGTGTCTCCTTAGCTAGAAGGAGGTCTTCCTCCACTTCTTCTCCTTCTGATTTACCTGTATCTGGCTTCTTAATTGGAAGTTCCAACAAATTGTCATTGCTTGTGTCATCTGGCAGGAGAGATAATGCTTCAGACACTGTCTTCCCTTTGAGCTTCTGTTTCAGAAAGCGGATTTTTGGAGTCATAGGAAGACCCAACGAAGCAGAGAATTCATCAATTGGAAGTTTTGTAACATCAAAGATCTCTTTATCTCTCTGTTTGTGTATGGACTTCAAGTATGTCACAAAAGCCCTTTGAGACAGATGCTGTAGGTCAGGGTACTTGACCAATAAAGAAGCAAGTAGATCGGAGACAGACTGTATCCTCTTTTCATTTGCCTGTTCACCATGATTAATAAAAAATGATAATCAGCCAACAACAGGACATATGCTGCATGTGAAAAGAGAGAATATAATTTTATGCCCTCAAATTCAGTGGTTAAGCAAAAGTGGATGAAATCCCACCTTGATAACTCGAAGGGGAATCTTTTTCTCTTCCAATTTTTCAAGCATTTTCATCTCAGATGGCATCACGAACAAAAGAGATCTCCCCCCAGAAAGGTATCGAGCAGTGCGGCCAACTCTGTGTATGTAAGCGGCACAATCTTCAGGACAGTCCACCTGAAAGGGAATTTGCGTCAACTGCATGTCAAATTTCTACTTTCTTACAATAGCATCCATGTCCTTTAATGGATGAAAAATCAATAACTACATATCAGTCTTTCGACTCGATAAAACATTAAGAACTAACCTGGACAACCCAATCAACAGCCTTATTAAAATCAAGCCCCCTTGAAGCAACATCAGTGGAGAACAAAACAGAACGTTGTTCACAAAATTGGGAGTAAATTCCCATCCTTCTATCTTGCTTCATCCTTCCATGAAGACATTTGAGGGGAATTCCAGGACGGAGTTTTTTGAAAGCTTCAAATACAAATTTTACCTGTTGAATGGGAAACAATAAAAAATGACAAAAGGAAATAAATCACAGAAAAATAAGAGCAAAATTTTGAGCTTTTGAATACGCTGAAACCTGATTCAATATACAGATAGATATTTTACTTTTTCAAAAACTGGTGATATAACTAATGTAATCAGTGCTTTCGACATTAGGCAGTAAACTCGTTTTTCCAGTGCTCTAGGTTTAAGTGCAATATTCATGTCAAATCCACGACAAAAAGTTCTCCACCGTAAAGTCTCGATTTTAGAAAACCCTAAGAAGAAGTTCCAGATACCTGCTTGCAGCTTGATAGGAAAATCAATATCCTTGAATTAAGATGTGCCTTTATAAAACTCCATAACATGTCCAATTTCTTATCGAGAGGAACAAGCATTGCTGTTTGTTGCAAGCGGTTGGGAGTTGCAGTATCAGACTCCTCATGCACACCCAAATATTCGGGGTCTTTCAGACTGAGCCTTGCCAAATCTTGAACAGACTTCGTCTGAGTTGCTGAAAACAACAAGGTCTGCCTATGTTTAGGCAATTGTGAAATGATTGCATTTAATTCCTTTTTAAACCCCACATCAAGAATACGATCTGCCTCATCAAGAACTAAAACCTGCTCCCTAGCCAGAAAAATGTACCCAAGTCACCAACTAAATAAACATAATAATTCTAACATATAGGAGGAAGACAGGTACACATGTGTTCTGTCAAAAGACAGCGAACAG